GCACCAAAAATAAATAAACAAATAAATAAATAAATATTAAAAATTAAAAAATAATACAAAATATAAAAAAAAAATGCATGCACACTCTCTCAGCCCCAGAAAAGCCATGGCAAAACCCCTGTGGAGATTTTTCCAAGAAAACCCCAAGAACAAGTAATAACAACAATAATCAATATCATCATGGCGGGTGGCGTCGGCGTCGGTGGCAGGACTGGCCTGGGGCCGGTCTAAAGGCCTCGGGGGGCCGCATCTGGCCCCCGGGCCTTAGCTTGCCTACCCCTGGACTTGAGGGTAGTTAACAACAAAATTACTGATTTTATACTGATTTATACTGGTTAATTATCATTAGTTAATAGTACAGGTATAATATAGTTAACAAAGTATATATATATGCATTACTTCTGTAACAACAACAAAAAAGTGCCAAAGGCACAAATAGCATGGAAAAATAGTGACATGTTGCTGTTTACTTTGCTTGTTTTAGGAAGGAACACACAGCTACAGTGGGATTGGCTAGAGTAGAATCCTATTCTTTCCCCACTCAAGTTTTTATTGAATTGTTTACTGGAGACATGTTGCTGCAACTTTATACTGAAAGTCTGTGTATTCCAGACCTCTTCATTCTCCTCCCAAGGCTGATGCTATAAAAGAAATGTCCAGACAGAGAATAAGAAAGGAAAAGGGACTGGGTGGGTGTAAAAAAAAACCCTTTGTAAAAAGGAGCTTCTTTGTCAGGGGCTTTAATGGTGGTATGGCTATATATATATTAGTTACATTTAGATTTTGTCTTTCCTATCAAGGTGGTGTACACAGCATTTCTTCACTGTGTCCTCACACAATCTTGTAAGTTAGACCAGGCTGACTGTAAGGCAGAGCTGATGTTACCAAGTGAGGTCCATGTCAGAGGAACTTGATCATGTATCTCCCAAGTTCAGCCCAGCCTTCTAACCACTACACCATGTACATGTTGCATAATTTTGAACCCTCCTTTGGGCTTGAGTGACCATATTTCTGTTTTAAACCAATCCAACTTCATCTTCTGTCATTTAGGTTTTTAAAACATTTTTTAAAAGGTTTTGCCAAGACGGGGGGGGGGGGGGGGGGGGGGAGAATAAATGTTTCTTATCCTTGACCACTCCCCCTCCCATGAACTTTTTTTGCTTTTTTTCATCGGCCATTACTACTCTGTTAATAATGCATATATGTCAAGGTGACAATCTCGGTGTAAGCAGCTTATATTTGGATTTCTCCTCCCTGGGCAGACTAGAAACCTGCTCTGGCCAGGGCATGTCTTGAAGAGGACAATTCAGTTATAACTAAGAAAGTTTCCTGGTGGTAGCCACACAATGAAACACAGACCACTCTCTTTACTTCATCACACTGTGCAGTTCATTGCTCTGTTCTTCAAATAACAGTTTATTTGCCCCTTGAGTAACACTCTTGGGAATGACCAATCCAAGCCTTGGCTGGTGGTGTAAAATGTAATATGACTGCTTCAGACTGAATATATATATATATATATATATATATATATATATATATATATATTCCAAAATCAAAACTCATGGGGAATGGAATTATTGCAGTTGAAAATATTCTAGGAAGAATACATTTTCTCTGGGGCTGAGTGTAGGGGAACAAGGAGGAAATTCACTCTTGAAAGGGATTCAGACGAGTACTTGCTTATATCTATCCTGTACTCCAAATCAATTTCTATGAGTAATCCTAACAGCTTTTTAGAAATGGATACATGGGGGGGGGGGTTGGCTCTTCTGTAGAACACATTACATGTTTAGAAATGTATGGATTTTCAGGTGCACGTTGTGTTGAAACCTGTGCTTGTTTCAAGGAAGTGAAGACTGAGTAAACTCAGAGCTTAGAAAAGCTGTTTATTGTACTAATCTTCTGATGGATTTTGGGAGGTTCTGCAAATATTTGTAAAAATAACATGGGGTGGTACAAATTCCTCACCCACTACTTCCTATATGTTATTTTTGAGATGTTGTGAATGGAACTGTGCAGAGAACTAAAGGCAGACATGTTATGGATATATGTAAAATCATTATGATATTCTAGAGTAAGGGAAAGCCTCTCACCTCAGGCCCAGTAGCAGCGGCATCCCAGGGACCAGCAGGGTCCACCAGTGCTGATATTTGACCCAAGGCATCCTTACTGGGCATCTGGTTTGGCAAGACTCTATTTTAATTTCTCATATATTTAGCAGAATGAGACTTGGGGGGAAGCAGACTGGCGGCACGGGGCCACCCTGGGAAGGTGCGCCGCGGGACCGAGGCATCCCCACGCCTCGATCCTGTGGCGCACCTTCCCCGTCCCTGAAAGGAGCGCTAAAATAGTGCTCCTTTCACAAGTCAGTGAAAGTGTGCCGCAAAAGACTGTGGCGCACTTTCACTGATTTTTCCGCCGCAGTGTGTCCGGACGCTGCGGCGGGAGGTTGCCCTCGGACCACCGGCCATGTGGAGGGCCGGCGGTTCCGAGGGCAACCTTGGGAGGAGGAAGGGGCGCTGAGTGTGCGGCTGCCCCTCCTCCTCCCTGCCTCCAGGATGGCTTTTTAAGCTGTCTGCCGAGGCCCTAAGTTGGACCTCCAGGGCATTGTGGGGAATTAAAATGGCAGACTCTAGGAAATGCTACAGCTGCCACAACCACTACCAGGGAATAGCAATAGCAAGTACTGCTTATCAGTGTAATGAAGCACTCCCTAAGCAGTTTACAACGTGTAAGCTAATTGCCCCCAACAAGCTGGGTACTCATTTTAGCAACCTATGGAAGGATGCAAGGTTGAGTGGACCATGGAGCCCTGCCTGGGAACAATTTGCAACCTTGTGGCTGTGAATGGCTGCAGTACCAGCATTTAACCACTGCACCACCAGGGTTCTAAGGATGCCTAGCAACATAAGATGGAGTGCACCAGAGTGCACTCAATTTATTCTGATGTTGCTTTTTCTGATTCATTCTATGCTTCAGTCACATATCTTCTCACATTCTACAAATGAAAACCAGGACATATGTGGGCAAGCACCATCACAGCGTGTGCTTTTAATGAGGAAGAACAATGAGCTAGAAGAGGTGGCAGCACTTTGGTTTTGCCTAAGCCTCCTAGTGAGAGCAAGATTATGCCCTATCCTCCCTCTCCATCCTTAATTGAGTTAACTGAGTGTAAACTATTTTTGTACTTTGAACTCACTTTGCTGCAATTGGAGCAAGATGAGTACAATAGGAGAAAGTGGGAACAAGAAAATGAAACTGGGACTTTTCAAAAGCAGCTGAAAAAGGTGGAATGAGAGGATTAATTGATATAGTCCCTGTCAAATTGGGATAGTTGGTGTGTGTGTGTGCGTGCGCACACGCACACGCACACAGTGTGACCCACATAACTCAGGGGAATACATTCCTAAACTTACCATGGATAGTAAAAATTGTGTATAATAGTGAACCCTATATTTCCTGCGGATGTTTACCATAGATTCACACTGGAGGACTTCCAGATGCCTAGAGACACTTTTTTTTTATGCAGGTAGGTGAAACTGTGGGTACCGGTCCCATGAATATGGGGATCATACTGTGCATGTATACGTACATACACATATCTTCATACGGCCTATGTATGCATTGTTCCTATGCATATTCCCATATACGTCTCACTTACCATACCCAATATTTCATTTACAATGTCTGACAAATTCAGCTACAAGTCTACTAGATATTCTCCCTGTCCTGGAAGACAATTTGAATTTTGAAATGAGGGCCACTAATAAAAAAGAACCCCTTGATTTTGCATTCCTTTGAAGCTAATGAAGGAGTACAGAATTATCTATTGCAGAGATCTTTCTTATCTTTTCATGTTCAAAGCTTTCGGGGGGCGGGGGGAATCAAAGGGAAGCACACCAATCACAGTTCCAGAGTCTACTCTGGGTAACCCACATGCACAATGCTTTAAATATATTTCTGGCTGTACATTTTATCATCAGAGCTTGGAAAAGTTACAGTTGCCATGATCCCAGCACAGCCATATGCCAGTCTATTTGGCTGTCTTTTTAGGGCCATAGACTCCTATACAATAATTGTGAGCTAGCCTAGTGTAATGGTTTGAGTGTTGGATACAACTCTGGAGACCAGGGTTCAAATCCCTGCTTGGCTAGAGAAACTCACTGGGTGACCTTGGGCAAGTCACACTTTCAGCCTCAGAGGAAGGCAAAAGCAACCCTCTCCTGAACAAATCCTGCCAAGAAGACCCTGTGATAGGACTGTCTTAGTGTTGACATAGGAGATGCGGTGGCTTGGTGGTTAAGACACCAATTGTGATGATCAGAAGATTGGAAGGTTGATAGTTCGAGGCCTGAGTGCTGCATGATGGGGTGAGCTCCTGTCACTAGTCCCAGCTTCTGCCAACCCAGCAGTTCGAAAGCATGCAAATGCAAGTAGATAAATTGGTACCACTTCTCAATGGGAAGGTAACAGCATTTGGTGCAGTCATGCTGGCCACATGACCACCAGAGCAGTCCTCAGACAACGCTGGCTCTTCGGCTTAGAAATGGAGATGAGCACTGCCCCCTACAGTTGGTTACGACTAGACATTCATGTTAAAGGACTACCTTTATCTTTACCTTTAAGTCAGAAACACCTTGAGGGCACACAACAACAAAATGCAATATTTCTTTTCTAAAAGAGCAGTAAAGGTATAGAGATAGAAAGAAAATAGCCTTCTGTTTATTGTAGTGTTAGAATTTAATATTCTAAGTGCCCAAAGTCATGATATAAGACTTCATTACAAAGAAGCTGTTGTACATAACAAAAGAAGAGACTTCATTCAATCATAGTGGTAGAAACTCTGTGAGAGTATATCCATGGAATAAGTAACTCTGTAGGTACTGCTAAAGCTGAACAAAAATCAGCAGGAAACTCAGCCTCAGTTCAGCTGCTACACAAAATGACAGTAAACCTACTACATCAATTGTTGTCAGATATGTAGTTTTCATTGTTTCAATTGGTCTGCTTTAATGAATTGGATTTTGGACTTAGGGCCTTTACAGAATGCCAGAAATAATGCATCTTGAGACCACTTTAACTCCCCTGGCTCAGTGCTAGGAAATCATGGTAACTGTAGTTTATTGTGGCACCAGAGTTCTGACAGAGAAGACTCAATCTCTCAGAAAAAACTACAATTCCCTAGCACTGAGCCAGGACAGTTAAAGTGGTCTCAAGCTGCATTATTTCTGGCAGTCTGTAAAGGCCCTTAGTCTAGGTGTGGGAATCATGTAGCCCTCCAAATGTTAATGGATTGCAACTCCCAGCATTCATCACCATTGGCTAAGTTGGCTAGGATGGCAGTTGAATTGAATATCTGCTAGATGATTCCCACAGCTGCACTAGGTCCTAAATCCAATAGTAATTGGATTACATGTTTCTCAACACATGCAATTTGGATTGGCAGCTTGTCACATTTCTACCATGGTCCTCTTCTGTGCTCCTTGGTTTTCCATAAACCTTTTCTTCAGTACAATGACTACAGTCAGCCCTCCTCCTCCTCCTCCTCCTTATAATTCTGTGCCCATTTATATAGGACTAAGTTGAATGAACTAAAGAGGACTCTCTTCTCAAACTTGCAGTTTTTAATCTAATGTGGTGATGTACCAGGAGAAATAGAGCCTAGGAGTGAGAGAAACAGTATGTTAATCATGTGACAACCCTACTCTAGGATTTCCTACTTTCTTGTATGGCTGCCAGATCTCAGAGACTGGCCCAGATCTCAGAGACTGGTTTTTGTGGGTCTCTCCCAGCAGGAGATGGAAGTATAAATTCTCCAGTTTTGGTGGGCTCAGGAATAGGCAAGAAGAAAGGGCCCTGTGCAAATCTCCATCACAGCTAGTACAGCAGGAGATAGCTACAATATTCAAGGTTTAATTGATCTGTTGCTGCAACTTGCAAAGACTCTCCTGAGGGGGGGATATATTTACGTACTTAGCTTCTTCCTTCCTTCCTAGTGGTTGTGGTCCCAGGGATTACCCTCTCCTCTCCTCTGCACCCACCTTCTGAATAGGTTAGAGCAAATGTTACTTATTCTATTCTCCCTTAGTAAAATGGAATACTCCCCTCAATGATCTGGAAACAGCCCCTTTAGATAAGATTTATATCTTAATTTCCAAACAGCTAAGTATCTTCTCCCTCTGTGTATGTGTTTGAAATAAAAGCTGCAATCAACAGTAGTTGATACATAATATATAACACTTAATGGCATCACCAGGAGCTGTGCCCAGGTCTTAGGATCTGGCCCAGAAATCTCAGGGCGTGGGACAATCCTGAACTGGTAACCCTAGAAATTGGGTAGGTGGTGACTTTACATTACCAATCACTACTTTTTATGTCCACCACCATCTAGCAGCACCAAGTGAAGATCTTTCTCTTTGTTTAGTTCTTCCAGTGTCTTCCAGATTATATCCTGTTTCAGTCTACTGCTTTTGTTGTTGTTATGGATTTAACAACATCTTGGCTGCTACATTTATTTATGAATAAACACCCTGTATTTTGTAGCATTTTAATTTCATTTTATATTAGCTACTCAAAGAGGCTGTGTGAAGACAGGCATATAAATTCCAAAAGAAAAGATAAAAAAAGGAAAGAGTTGTGAATAAGAGTTGTGAATAAGCTGAGGCCGTCTTATTGTGTCAGATCCCTCAGCTTTATGTCATTCCCATTTCAGAACTAGAAGTCTGAGATGTCTGATCTGGCAGGTGAAAGAATCTTTGCTTCATCTGAGATCATTGCTGGGACTGACTGCCAAGCTGCTGTGAAATGCTTTATCACACAAATTTTGATCTTCTTAAGCACTAAAGGAAAGTTTTTCTTTCCCTACACACACACACTTTTTGTTGTGTGCCTTCAAGTAGTTTCTGACTTATGGCCACCCTAAGAACCCCTATCATGGGGTTTTCTTGGCAAGATTTGTTCAGAGGAGGTTTGCCATTGCCTTCCTCTGAAGCTGAGAGCATGTGCCTTGTCCAAGGTCATCCAGTAGGTTTTATGACCCAGCAGCAAATTGAACCCTGGTCTACAGAGTTGTAGTCCAACACTCAAACCACTATACCAAGTTGGTTCTCATATATAATCTAGTGTAATGCTACACATATCTATTAAAAACAAGTTCCACTGAGATTAATGGATTTTACTTCCAGGTAAGTGGTTATTGGACTATAACCTTAATGATTTTCATGAGTTCAGTATTGAAACAGTAATTCCTTGGCTATTGCAGATGCCTTGAGTCCCAGTTTTGAGGCAAAGTCAGGGTATAGATGATGATGATGATGATAAGAATAATGATGACATACCAATTAAATGTCCCTCAAACTGTTCAGATTAAAAAATGTCCTACAAACAGTATTGGAGGCAAAGGGAGCGCTCCATCCCAGCTGCTTTGTATATGTGTGCTACCACGTTCCCTTATTAATGTTTAAGGAAATGATGACCCTTCAAAGATGCCTTTCAATTATCTAATCCAATGACTAACTGTAACCTGTTTCAGTTTATTGCATCACTACTAAGTAAGCTCATCTTTAAAGGGTATATATTAAGAAAAATCTATCCAAACTCAGAACTTTGTTCTTTAAATCCTGTGGGCAGACTGAAAGCACACCACATAAAAATTATGCCATGTCAGATCTATGCAATTCCCACTTCTCTAATCTTATTCTGAGTATTAGCAAATCTACAATCCCCTAGCTGTGTTATTATACAGCACGCTACTAAGAAGTTCCTCCAGTTACAAATGCAGGGAAAGACAGCTGAGTCGTCTTCATTTTGACAAACAGGACTCTCAAGATGAGCAGATGAGGGCTTTTCAAATGTGGTCTTCAGATATTGCTGAACAAATTACGGCACGTGTGTTAATTACCTCACAGACTTTCCTATAAATGAGCTTCATGTAATCAACAAGTCACAGATACTTGTAGCCAAACAAAATACAGGTTTCCAAGCATGATCAGAGACACTAGATCAGTGATGGCAAACCTTTTAGGCACCAAGTGCCCAAACTAAAAGGCCTTCTGACACCGGGTGTTACCCAGTGCTGAGGGTGGGATTTCCACCCTCTGGGAGCAGGACTTCAAGGGCAAGACTTCTTCCCCCCTGCCCTCCCAGGTCTTCAGCTGCCTCTACAAGGCACCTGAAGGCTGGGGGGACAAGAGGGGAAGAAGACAAACAGGCACGCCCCTTTTCTTCTTCCTCCCCACATGACATCCCCAGCCTTCAGCTGCCTCCAGAGAGGCAGCTGAAGGCTAAGGAGGGTAGGGAAGGAGGAGGAACAGGCACATGACTCTTCCTTTTCCTCCCCCCCCCCCCCCCCGCACCATCCCCAGTCTTCAGCTGCCTCTGCTTGAGATGGCTGGGAAGGTGGAGGAACAGGTGTATGCCTTTTCCTCCTCTTCCTCCTCCCTGTCCTCTGTGTGCCAGAGAAAATGGTTTTGCGTGCCACGTCTAACACACATGCCATAGGTTCACCATCACGGCACTAGATTGTGACTACTGTTCTGATTAAAATTTCCTGTGTTTTAAAATGTAGAACAATCCAATTAAATATGGTAGAGTTATGTACCATTAGAGTAATGTAACTGTAAGAGGGGATGAATTTGGTATATAATTGAATAGTAGTTGTTGTGGTACCACTAGAACTGAGTGATGAATTACCATCTTTCATCTTCCTTCCATGTCTATGCAATAACATTTTTGGAAATCTTATTTTCTCCTTTTTTATTTTTACAGGGTTTTAGCAAGTGTTATGTCCCACACTGTACCACTCAAGCCACAGAACACAGCAAATATAATAAAATCCCTCTCTGCACTGCAACGTCCTCTCTTCACTTCATGAATCTTTTCCTCTTAGAAACAGTTTTGTGCCTCTTCACTACTTCTCCATTCTGCTGATAAAATGCATATCTTCCTAGATAGGTGGTGGTTGTTGTTTAAAAGGTATAAAAAGAGCAGAAACTGCAAGTATGGCTACTCCTGCTCACTAGAGCCACCTACAATGATGACATGAGAAGAGTAATGTGGTGAAAATGAAAATGAAGATCTTCCTCAGTATTTATTCAGCTGTCCCCTGTCATCTGAAAATAAGAATAAATTCCTTTTGGGATCTCTACAAGTTAA